GTGAATTTACCCTGAATGCTGAAGGTAATGAAAGAAAACTGAGTCCTTGTCTGATTCAGGGAAATCTGGAAATTTCTTTTATTGATAACAAGCATGAGAATGACATTGTCTGGTTGCGTTTGTACTGGTGGAAAACATCTTGCTCAGATTAGCTGTAAAGATTTCAACACCAACTGCATCATCTTTCAGAGATAGGGAAGATAAGGCGGCTCTCAAATCAGCCAGCCTTTGAGAGTTGGAAAGGACTTTGATTAAACAAAGGGAACATCACAATGTTTCCTGAGCCACAGACTGAAGTGCCATTGTCCTGTTGAAAACCATATTCAGCACAGCCCTGGTCTTGGCCTTCAGACGCGGCTTCCCCTGTGCAGTGCGTTATGACCATGAACCTAATGAGAGACCCGCAACTGTGACTCATTGTTTTCAGTCCTCATTGATTGTCAAGACTCCTGACAAAATTCTCAGAAATAGAAACTGAAATTGCTGCATATGCAAGACTTTCTCAGTGTGTCTGAGAACGCTCCCAATACAAGCCCCCTTTCCATCTGGCTAGAGAACTCCTCGGGGAGCAGGCACATGGAGCCCCAGAATAACTGCCATGACAATTTCCTCTAGGATTAAACATTTCCTTGGCCGAGGCTGGAGGTAAATCTATGGCCCCGTGAGCATACATGGAGGAAAACTGGAACCGACCAGGTAAAACTGGTTTTGTGAATGAATATAATTCACTAGTCCAGCTGTAAAATGAATCTCACAATGTGATTACACCATTCCAAAACAGCTGAGCCCATTACAGTTCAAACTGGCAGACTTCTAGTTCTTACGGAGGGAAGAGGAGTGAGCCAAGTTTTAAACAATTACAGTTTGTCACTGTAAAAGGCATGCAGGTTGCAGTGAGAGTGTGCGTGTGTGTGTTCAGGTACAAGAGCCTCCCTTTGGTGCCTTTAAAAGTGCTCTACCTTTTTTAAAAGCTCATCACAGGAAGGCAGGATTGGATACCACGTGGAAATCAGAATCCGCCTTCATTGATCAATGGAAAATTACCACCCTATTCTAGAAGTTCAGTGTAAGCATACTAAGAGAATCTCAGATTAGACATTAGGACTCCCAAACCTTGCATAAACTTTTGAATATTCAACGAACACTTGGTTTCAGTTATGAAAGCAGTCAGGATTCCAGATTCTCAGTTGTTGGTGGTCAATTGTGAAAAAGAAAATATATGTACATATATGTGTGTGTATAGATAGATACATATTTAACAATATATCTATGCACACACAGTCATACTTAAACTCAGAAATCATCTATTTTAATAACAGCACTTTCCTCTTTCTATAGGCATGTTCATAAAGGGAGAGGGGGAATGCCAAAGAGGATGAATCTTGACTCTGATCCTTGCATGCCGAAGAGAAGGCAAGGTAAATTTATAGGAGATTTCCATTCCTGCCACCTGGGATGCAACTAGCACATTTCATCATTATTTGAGAATTTTCATGTATGGGCCAGGGACTGGGTTTGCAAAAAACGTGTGCCTAAAATGCATACTTGGAATTCTGTGAGGATATCTGTGAATCACAAGTTTCACTAAAACACTTAGTCCTACAAATCATGTCTTCAAGGCATTCATTCCCACTGGACTGGTTGTGGATGGAAGGGTCCACCCAGGCACTGAGCATTGGGATGCTTCTGGCTGACACCACTCAGGGGGACCCTAAGCTGCCTGAAGGGAGCCATCACACCTCAGAGACCACCCAAGTCCATCCATGGGGGCACTGGGCCAGGGTTGTGGGTGGGGAGTAGGTGCCTGAAAGGTAGATGGTAAGAGGAGAGTGGATGGGAATCCACTGCCTGCTGCCATCCCTGGGGTAGCTGTATTATTTATTTTGTAACAGGCTTTTTAATGGCAGGCCTTTAAAAAATTTTTTTTCACAATTTAACTGGGTGAATTTTGGAATCTGCCGGGCTGGGGGTTTTGTGAGCATTCAGTCTTAAATCCGTTTCCGATTCACTTTAGTCTTGCCTCAAGGTATTTTGCCCTCTGCTTTTCTTAAAGCATCTAAAAAAAAAAAAAAAAAAAAGCCCTAAAGCAGCCCTTCTAACTATGGTAGTCACCGAGAATGAGATTTTCAAAAGCACCTTACTGTCCTTTGGTGGGCAAAGGCTGCTTAGGGGTTGAGAGCTGTCTTGCAGGCAATTCCTGCTGTGGCCATCAACGATTTCAGATCCCACCGACCTCCGTCCAAACTCAAGTAGAGGACGCAAGTGTCAATCTCCTTCCCTCTCTGCACTTGCCAAATATTTCAAGAATGTATCATTGTTTAATCACCAAGTTTCATCATTTTCTCTCCAGACTTTTGTACCTTCTTAATGGTCATTTTGACAAACCTTACACAGATAAAGCGACACCACAGCTTTCGAAGTATATTATCTCATTCAATCTTCCGTCTTATAAAAGGAAGTATCAACTGTGTGGATCATTTCTCCTCCACGATTATCACCTTAAGCATGAAAGCATTAAAAGAAAATAAAATTTGGAACAGATATCAGACTTTTTTCCTACTGTAAACTATTATTACTAACAGACGGCCCAGGCGCTGCTCCAACCCGGTAAGAGGCTCTCTTTGATGAAGTGGCCTTTCTAAGTGACGTGGCTGGGCAATCCCATGTGCACAGGAGCCATGCCGTGATTTCAGTCACCACCTTTCATCTGTTGAACATACACCGAATTTGATGTTTGTTTTGTTTCATATCAATTATTAACATCAGGCCTTGTAAAAGGTACAATAAGAAATAATGCAAATTCAGAATGTCTCCTTCCACAGATTGTCATCTATCCTCCCTCACCGATCCAGGAACAGAGTGATAAGCTACCATGATTTCTGTTTAAGCAGCTACGTAGCTGAGCCACCAAATGTTCACAGCCTTGTTTTCAGAAGTTCTCTCACCCATGACGCAGCTGGAATGGGAGGCAGAGGGGATTCACGAGGTCCTTTCCTGAGACTTGGACGCTTCCCACCATCAGGGTGTCACTCATTTCTGGTCATCAGCTGCTGTTTCTGAGCAGATCTCACTGGACTCCCAATGCACAATGGGGCTCCTTACAGCTCACTCTCACCAAGAAACAGAGACTCAGAGCGTAACACGTAAATTGCTAATATATCATTTTTACCATAACATATAGGTTTCTACTATAAGTGTGGGATGAAAAGGAAAGGGTAGAGAAGGACATAAAGGATGAAACTGGTCCCCTGCCTCTCTGAAGGCACAGGTACAGACAAGCCCAGTCCCAGAGGTATGCAGTGCCTAGGATTTTGTATAATACCCCTGCTACTTCTGGTAATGATTGTCATGTTTATGTCACTTACTGAATACTTACTAAACACCAGGCACTAAACTGTTTATTTCTTTTAATACAACTCTTATAAGCCTTGAGGTGGCTTTGAGACAGATGTTGTCATTCCTATTTTAAAGATTTTTTAGAAAAATGAATCTTAGAGGACAAATGTCATTTGTCCAAGGTTCCATACCAAGTAGACAGAACCTGGATTCAAACACTGACCCATCTGACTCCAAACCAGTCAGACCCAGTTGCTTATGGTGGGACTCAGTTTACACTGGCATCTAAACAGTGAAAGCACTAAGGAAGACTCACTAATTTAGCACCAATGCCAAGCATGCCTTTAGACTTAGAGTTCTAATAAAAGTGTGTACAATTCTGCACTCCCTTTAAGGAGGAGAGAAAACCTACTGTTGATAGGTTTTTCTGGTTACATTTACTTGTTTTACTTTTCGATAAAATTATTTGTCTTTTTTTCTGGATCATGTTTGCAAATAAATCCTTCATTGAAAAAATGCTTTCATCATTTCACATTCCCAGATCCCGAAGGCACCTGCATTCCAGCTCTTCAGGGAGGCACAGGAGGACTCCACACATTCTTTCCAGCTGCATGGGCCCCTCCTCAAATGTTCAGCTGAAGAGTTCACCTCTGAACAATTTACTAGGTCTCCCAAACAGCCTACCGTCTTCACATTTGGAAAGACTAAATCCCCTCTAAAAACAACCTTCACAGTAGTGTATTTTTATTTTAAAATTTGTCATGCTGATTTGTTCATTACTATAAGGTTCCTGCCACACTCTGCCTCAGGAAATCATGTCAACCATTTTCCCTTCTTTAAAAAACACCCCACCAATCTCACAATCCCATAATAGTAGTTTTCAAATGACAAACCAAGATCGGTTAGTGGGTCAGGAAATCAATTCAGTAGGTTGCAACCCACTTTTCTAAATTAAACAGAATATGATATAGAATCACATAAAAAATAAGACTATGTCATATATAGGATCTCAACCAGTGGTGAGTTTTTCCCCAAAGGAACATTGGCCATGTCCAGAGACACTGTTGGCTGTCCTAACTGAAGCAGCAGTTTGCTGGCACCTGGTGGGGGCGGGGGTCAGAGACGCTGCTAAACATTCCAGGGTGCATAGGACAGCCCCCACCACAAAGAATCATTTAGTCAAAATTGTCAATAACGCCAAGATGAAGAAACTCGGACCTGTGGTAAGGGTAAGTCTCATAAAGCTTTCATTCTGTGATGTGTGTTTGTGTGTGTGTGTGTGTGTGTGTGTGTGTGTAACTTCATTTGTGTGAGGCTTATCAGTTATTCACGAGTAAGTTGCCAATAAGAATGCCTAACCTTGGGTGGTTTTAAGAATGAGTCTATGAAATAAGTCACGTGACAAAACAACACAAACAACACACACACGCAACACAAACTCCATCCACGTAATATATACTAATCCTCACCCTGCCTTTCTTCTGAGTGGCAAAGTACCTTAAAAAGTGGCTGACACACAGTAGGTGTTCAAGAAATAAATATCTTGTCTGAAATTCCTAAATTGCTCAGATGTCATTTTTACCATAATGTGTAGGTTTCTGTTACAAGTTAGGGATGAAAAGCAGGAAAGAGTGGAGAAGGGCGTGAAGAATGAGAGTCATCACCTGTCCGTCCAAGACGGGCATTTGCCCAGTTGCATGTGCAGGTGCAGTCAAAGCAGTCCCACTGTGCTTCTGTGCTTTTCATCCTGTTTTATCTTCACCATCCACCAACGCAGAAGTCAGGCCAGGAATCCTCGTCCTCCTTTTACAGATGAGGAAACTGAGGCAAATCAAGCAGAAAGGAATAAGAGAAACCACCATGCACTTAGACGCCAAGAACTCATTTCTAAGCTGGGTTTTGCTGTACCTAGCACAGAGATCTTGTCTCAGTCTCTTCACTCAGATGAGCCCTTATCCATATGATCAGGCAAGAAGACTAAATCATTTTCAAGTTCCCTTTGATTTTTAAAATCATTGCAATCAAAGAAGGCATAAAACTTTCCCCAAACAACGCAGAATGTCATTCACCAGAATGTCAGAGCCAGACTCAGGGCTCTGGACACCTGGCTACACCGTGGACCACCTGGGCATGACCCACTCAACTAAAACGATCTTGCAAAAATATCAGGTTGGCACAAAAGCTATTTTTGTATGTTTGTTTGTTTGTTTTTTGCACCAACCTAATACTTTGGTAAAACTTATTTAAATGTTCACTCTTATAAAAGAAAAATTTGTGTAGGGTGGTACTTTGACAAAAGGGGCAGAGCAACATCCCTAGAACCCACTGAGTGTTTCTTCATTGAAAGATGGAGGCTTTGGACTAAAGACTGTGTTTGACCCAGCATGTTTTTATGAGAACTGAATTATAATTTAATCAGCAAATTCTTATCTGTGTCATTTTACAAAGGCACATTCTAAAGTTTTGAGAAACCAGCTGACTTGAGCATGGTGGTGCTGATAAGATTAAAAAGAAGTGAATTTTGAAATGTTCTGTCATTCAGGTTGTTTCGGTGGCACAAACCCCGTAGATCCCAGAGCCCAAGGTCACCTTTATCTTCTCAAAGGGCATGTTATGAAATTGCACAATGCCTGACACTTTCACGGGAGTAACTGACCCAAGCCCGTTCTTGGGAAACTATCCCATCATGAGAGAACTGATCTGGAGATCTCAACCCATCTGAAAAACTAGCAGGAAGCCTACACAGTCTATCTGACTTCATCAGAAAACAGGCTCCTCACTTGGCCTTCAGGGGCCTTCCCAGCTTCACAGCTCCTATTCAGGGTCACCCTGCATGCCCTTCCTCTCCGTCTCCATGCTCTTCTCTGCTCCTCTGCTCAGAAGGAGCATATTCCCTCTGCCTGAAACGCCCTGCCCGCTGTTCTGAGTTATGGGCACCTTCCTTCCCTCTTACCAGTGTCTCCTCCAGCTAGCATTCCTCCCTCCCATGCAAAACTAACATCCCTGGCTCCTGTGAGCTCACAGTAATCTTATCCTTGCTCTTAAAATGCCACACTGCACTGGATTTTTAACCCACATGTTTGTCTCCCACAAAGAACTTTGACCTCCAAGGGAGCCGGGAGGGTGGGTTTCTTTGAGCACTCTGGGACTCCGCTGCCTGCGGTTGCTGGATGCCCAAGTTCTCTGTTCACTGTGAGCTCCATAAAACCCAGGATCAGCTCTCTCATGTTTTCCTGCCTAGCACATAGTTAGTGACTAATAAATATTTATGGACTATATGAATCACCTATGAGTTTCTAGAGGGAAAAGAATTTCTCTGTTTATATGTGTATCCCCCAACACTTAGCACAATGCCTAGCACAAGATTAGGTACCAGAAAATGTCTGAATTCAAATAAAGGCAAGTTGAGTCCTGTTACAATCCTGGTTTGATCCTGGCTAGACTTCATCTATTTTGGCCAGGTTTGGCCTTTCGAGAACTCCTCACTAAATAATTAACTGAGGCTTGTCAGAGGCCTCAGGGCTCAACAAACAGTTCAGCTTGGTCTGACTGATGCTCCAGCCTGTTAAGAATTTCTTCTGCACAAACAGCGCATGGCCCAGGGTAACTCCAGAGGACTGATAGGGGGAGAGGAGGGAATGATGGCCCGGCCTTCCAGAAGCCACTCACTGCTATTGACAGCATGTTGAGGCACTTGATTGAGATAATACAATTTTCCCATTTTAATGTTTCCACTGCTTGGCCAAGTTAAAGAGCTAACCCCTGCACAGGAAGTGAAAATCAGCTGAGATGGCTCAAGTTGGCTCTGTCCTTCCCTGTGTCAAACCTCCCAGATGGAAGTGGGGTCTTTAAAAGCTGAATCTCTGTAACTGTGGCTTCCTCAGGTGTTTTGCGCTTTTATGATTTAACTGGTGGAGATGCCTTTGTATTAAAATGTTTACATCAGCCTCTCTCTAAGTACAGTTCTTGGAACATTTGTCCTCGATCCATGGAGAAAGCTCCTGGGCCAGATGAACTTGGAGATGGAAAGGCTCTGAAGGCCTGCAGTGCGGTTCTCTGGTCAACCTGTCTTACCCCGACATTTCCCAAACTCTGGCTGTAGGATCCTTCTGGCCTGAATACCTGTATGTTTAGAAGGCACTTTGGAAAACAAGAAAACAGTGCTCCAGAACAGAGGTCGGCCCAGCTTTTCTGTGAAGAGCCAGATTGTAAACATTTAGGCTCCGCAGGCTACATGGGCTCTCTGTCTTGGGTTCTTTTGTCTGCATTGGTTTGCGCAAAAACAGGCCGAGGGCTAGATTTGGCCACACGCTGTAGTCATTTGTCAATCCAGTCTAGAATATTTTCCCCTTGACAACCAGTTGCCAGGCTGCACTTGAGTCATAGCAGCGGAGCTGCTCTTAACAGTCGCTCGCTCCTTCCCTTTTGGACGTCTACGGAAATTGTTCTCATAGAGCATTTCCGCAGCAATCCCAGGCAAACGCTAAATAATAATAAGCATTAATACGGATGCCAAACCACACCTGGTTCTGGTCACTTTCTGTGCATCCTCAGCACTGTTGTGCTTGTGCTGTCATGCCCGCTCTCTGTGAGAGCCACTGGGGAAGGCCGTCCTCAAACCCGGCCATACAGCTGCAGGCACCTGTATGCTCCTGTCTCCTGTCAGATGGCTGGCTAGCAGGTTGGCCGGGCTGAACTATGGCTGCGTCAAACCAATTTTGCAACAACCCTTGCTTACAGGGCAGGGAGCCACACGCCAGGGCCACTTGCTCTAAGCAACATCCCTGACTATGACCAGCTGCTCATCCAAGTCCTTGCTGTGGTTTTTTTTTTCCCATAAAGACCTGTCCAGTTCAGGGATATACACTCAAAAACACCTGTATTCAAATCTTTTTTTTTTCATCATAATACTATTTGTGTGATCTTGAACACTTTAATAAATCTCTTTATATCTTAGTTCCTTGGTCCCAAGTGTGGTACCACCACCTCTCTTGCTGTGTTGCTGGATGGGTCCCAAGGTGAGGTGGGAAGGTGCCCAGGAAGCTCAGGAAGCACCTCTCACCTCTCCCTTTTCCAGGGACAGCCCAGTCTTCTTGGGAAAAGCTCCCCCTCGCCCAGGATGTGGGGCAGATGGGACATGACCAGCCTGCCTGGTCTTCTGAGACAGCCGAATTGAAAGAGTGCAAGAAAAAATAAAACAAGGCATGCGTGGGGCTGGGGAGGTACAAGGAGTGATCAATTTTAGCCCAGGAGTTAGGGAAGACTTCACAGGAGACATCTGAGCTAGAATCCTGTGGGGACTCAGATTTGAGCAGTGGGGAATGGAGGAAGGAGATTTGGGGCAGACAGAGCAATAGGAGCAGGACATAGCACCTGCCCTCCAGGTATCTCCCCGCAGACACGGGCTGATCCCACCCTGACACCGAAGCCCAGCCTCTCTCATACCCAGGAGCCTTTTCCTCAGCCAGACAGTGAAGCCAGAGAATAAAGCTCATTTTGCCAAATGGACCGCTAATGTGTCCACGGCGTGTCTCCCCCTTTTAGAACCTAACCCCCGAGGGTGCTCTTCCCCCAAAGTGCACAAAACTGCTGCCTCTACACTTGCCTCCATGCTGGGACTTCAGACAGGGCTGTGAAGATAAATCTAATGACTGGTAAAACCAGTTTATCACGGAAAACTCTGGATTTTCACATCTTAGATCACCCTTCTGCTGAATTCTGGATTTCTGAAATGCAATAAAAACACTTTCTTTTCTAGCACGCTGCTGGACTTATTAAAAAAATTTATTTAAACCTCAAGGCACCCTGTTTTCCTGATTTACAGGTGAAAAAAAAATCAAGTTTCAGTTAATGCAGTGGCATGTCCGAGGACACACCGCTAGTTGGAGGAAGAATGAATGATACTGTAGCAACATGGCAGTGAAGCTTCACTCACTTTACCCTACTAAACACACATCGTTGAGAATTTGAATCCCAAGGCAGCCACGCAAACCCAAATTCATATTTTTGTTTTCTTCTCCCTGTGATCTCCCTCATGGTTTGCTGTATTTCTCTGCTGCCCCCTCCCACCCCCTGACAGCTTCAGATACACACACACACAGGATTCAAAATACTAAAGACACATCCAGTTAAGATGTGTCCTTTTGATATGAGGAAGCAGAAGGAAAAGCACGAAGTCCTCACCGTCTGGTTTCTGCCCTCAGACAGAGGAATATGCCCATTTGCACTATGATGCCAAGTTCAGTTTGCTTCCTGCTTTGAAACCAACCAGGGAGAAAACGGCGTTCATGACCTTCAATGAGTGTCATTCCTGGTAATTTCCCTGGAATTTTTGTGTCCTTAAAAATTTTTCCTATGACAAAATCTTGCACAGAACTGTGCCATCCTGAGCGTGGATGGGTCCCCATCACCCCACCCACTGGTGTCCCGAATTGCCCTGGCGGTGCCGTCAGCAGCGGCCCTTGGTTTTACTGACAACCTTCCCCCAGCTTCCTTGGGCGCACTTTGCAGTACCTACCCAAGGGACTGTGCATGAACTGAGAGACGGAGCCTCAGGCTGTCTCTCTGAGGAGGGGACAGGGCCCCCTCCTCGGTGTCCCCCAGATGGTTATAAATGTCCCTGGCATTTGTTTACCCACACTAGACAGTAACCAACATTCAGATAAATGAAGTTGGCGCCTGCAGGATTTATGATCTCCTCCTGTGCTTTGCATTGTTTCATCAGGAAGTTAACATATTACAGAGTGAAATCCTTTACAAGCATGTGCAAACACAGAGGCACCATTAGCACTAAGGCAGTCCCAGGGGTCAGATGGACCTCC